TGGCCACACGAGCGGATTCTGGCAGCATGCGTGGATGGACATGAAGAAGAGATTTTCACGAAGGGTTCCCTCACAGATCGCTGTCCTCTGCTGGTCATAAATTCGGCATCCCTCTTTGGTGAAGCGCACTTCGGCCCCTCGGTGCATGAGATGGGAGACGGATAGCAAGTTGCCATGAAGGTCTGGAACATAGAGGACACTCCCGAGGGTCGCTTGGTGCCATTTTCTGTTCGCCTGCATGCGTACGGAGATGCGTCCAACTCCAGTGCCCCAGATGCTGCTGTTGTCTCCGAGCACGATCTCTATAGGTGAAGCAAGAGGTGTGAAGTGGGCGAACCAGGAACGGTTTGAGGACATGGTTCGCAGGCGCCAGAGTCGATCACCCACTTGTCCTGCAGGTCCCATGGGAAGAGGGTGCGTGCGATACCTTCAGGAGCCGGACCACGTCTGAGTCAGAGTCCGATTCATTAGGTTTGTCCGCGACTGCCACTTTCGCCGACGCCTTGGAGGTTTTCGCCTTAGTGGGGGTTTCACTGGTTTTCCCTTCCCCTTGCTCCCTTTTGAGCTTTCGGCACTCGGTGACGTCGTGTCCTTTGAAGTTGCAGTGGGTGCAGAACTTCTTCGCTCATCAGCTTTACTCTTCTCTCCCTTTTTAGCTTTCTTGGCTGCCTTGGCGAAGAATGCTGTGGCGCTGACACCTGAGCTCACGATGCGGCGTCGTTCATCAGAAAGGATTCGGTTGGTGACGTCGTCAGTGGTGATGGTGGTGAGCCTGACAAGACGGTCCTGAGGGTCTCCAGGGAGTCGGGCAAAGCGTTTATCATTGCGATGGCAGTGAGTTCGTCGTCGAACACGTCTTGTCCCTTGATTTGGTTTATAAGGGACACATTGTTGAGGAAGGCATTCAGCTGGTCGTCAAAAGGTTCAGAGTCGACAAACTCGGTTTTGAACACTTTGCCAAGTAAATGTGCGACGCGCGCTTTTCCTTTCCCTTCGAAGCAGTCACAGAGCTTATCCCAGGCATCCTTCGCTGTAGTGGTTGTGAGATTGTGTTGAGGGGGCCAGGCTTGAGTGTGAACTCGATTTGCCCAAGCGCCTCCTCGTCTTTCTCGAGCCAGTCGTCAAGCGTTGCGCTTCCAGCTGCAGGTCTGGGAAGGGAGCCATCCACAACAGTCCACAACTTCCGAGCCTGAGGGCCCTTCGGGTGAGGCGTTTCCAGGATGCAAAGTTCGAACCGTCTTGTTCCAAGGATGGGAGTTCAAATCTCTTGGAGTTGTGGGGGTGCTACTTTGGGTAGTGGTGCTGTTGGACGCGGGAGTGGAGGTGCTGTTGGACGCGGGGGTGGTTGTACTCATACTTGGTAGTAATCGCGATGTGATTTGTCTAGCTCAGTAAGAGTCAGGTCTCATAATCTGTCAGACGCGTGTAAGTACGCTTTAGTCTCAGTCACAGAAGAATGGACTATATTCCAACCTGTCAGACGCGTGTAAGTACGCTTTAGTCTTAAGGTATGGTCAGTCTTATGTAAGTCTACAGGAAGAAGCGTACGGGCTCACCTCAGTCACAGAAGAATGGACTGAGGCGTCTAAGCGCGCTGTGGCGCCTATTTATGTACGTATTTAAGGTGCATATATGCGCATATAAGGGTTGTCCCAAAAAGAAAAAAGAATTGTATGGAATGTGTTAGAACAAAGGAATCATGTAGTTGCGCATGTTTTTGGGTCAAGCGTCCGTAATCGGCTGTCCGACTGCCTTTTCCACTCCAACAAAAAGTTTGATGGACCTCTAAACTCCCTCCTTCAAAGACCTCCAGATGAGCTTTGAAACCTGGTTCATGTGGGCGAAAAGGGGCTTATTGGACTCTGCCATTTTCTGGAATACCTCGTCCAGCATCACAAGCTCTTGGTGTCACCGGCATAGATCCGATAACGATTAGACAAGTCGTTATACCAAGCTTATTACGGCCGCTCTCTAGCCAAAGATGAAGTTGAGTGAGGAATGGGAGACAGAAGAGTGTATTGACTCCGTAAGCTAGACAGGAGACTCAACTTGCCGTCTTAGGGACGGTAGTTTGAGTCTTATATACCGTACAGGACATCCGGAATGTTCTACACTATGATGTGATGTAGAAGGCACTAGAATCATATGGAAACTACTACGGAAGACACTGGAACACGATGGAATATCATCCGGAACTCGATAGAACAGGATGGAAACTGGTAGAAGCTACTCGTATCATACATGGCTTGGGCTTGGTTGACCCCCACTCTTACCCATGTCATCATGTGCGACCCTGTGACCTCTGGTGCTAAGGATGAACAATGTCACTTGGGATGTCTATTTGAGGGGAAGTTGGAATGCTTGATGCATGCTATTGATGAAGTGTGAGCAAATCAACAATTAAACACAAAGTGAAAGTTACTTAATAAAATCCAGATCACCGTCACAACGCCTAGTTTTGAATGCCACTGCACCAGCCAATATACATATTGACACATTGATGGATGACCAGCATGACCCAGCCAGTCACCCTTCCCCAATAGACATCAATGCTCTCGATGACAAGCTTGACGACCTGCAAATCCTTCTGCTACAATTGAATCAGAAGCCACAATGCCATGGAATTTAAGTTGACTTTCCTCCGGGCAACAGCGCTCACTTGTCATATCCATTTGGCATCCATGATGAGTTTGGTGACCCCTGGGATTACTCTGTTACCAAAGGCATCATGATATAACATGGGAAAGGGTGTATAATGAGCATGACACACCAAGAATCCAGTCTCTGTGACAGCTGTGAAGTGCTCACAAAAAATACAAATCTGCAAGGAATCCTCCAGTGAATCAAAACTGGTGTTCATGAAAACATGTCCCTAATATACATCAGGAAAAATTTTCTCATGCTGATACACTGACCTGCTGCTATATACGTGGAAGTGTCACGAACTGTGACTCCGGAACTTCGGAAGCACGTGACTGTGGGAAGGTCACATGACCAAACCGGGTCTGACCCATCATGTGACCCACCATGTGACCGATCACATGACCCAGCACCTAACCCTGCATCTAAACAGTCATGTGACAAAGAACGAGAGCATGACCTGATGCACACCTATTTCTGTGGGCGTAATCTATGTTACGTCCACAACAGATACTAGGACTTGTGAAATAATGAAGTTGTTCAAGATTGGATCTGCATTAACCCCTACAAGGGTAAATGCAACTTGATCCCAAACGAGAAGACAATGTACCCTTATGGGGATCTCGGATACCCAAAGGGGTTCTTGGGGAAGAGAGAGTTGTGCCATTGGCTAGAAGGTTATGGAACATTGCGGAATGCCCCTGCTGTGCGGCATGTCATCCTGACTGTGCATTGCGTCATTTGTGCACGGACCTCTTAGTAACAGAGTTCAAACCTACGCACAGACCATATGCTAGATGTATATAAACCCCCATGCAATCTGATGACAGTCCTCAGACTGTCCACTTTGTACCACTCCCCCAGTAGCAAGCCTTGCTAACAAACCTGCTTGGCAGTTGGCATTGGACATCATTGATCTCCTTTGCATACTACTACTTCTTGTTGTGGCGCACGCTGCTGTCATTGTCCTCCACCTCGTCATTGTCATCTACCACCTTCAGTACCCCTGTCCTTGCCTCGCATAAGCCTCACTGCTGCGTGTAATAAGCAGTGAGTCTTAACAGAAAGTGACATGATCAGAACCCAAGGGTCCATGAGGCTATATCTCAACTGGTCCACTGTCGCCACTACACACGTGCTTGCTATCGGACAAGGTTTCAGCCCAACAAGATTGACCGACGCTGAGCGCAACTGTTCAGAAGTTACCACTCATGCTGCGTGCTGACTTGCTGAGTCGCTCACAAGTGGTAGAGATGAGAGGGAAGAGTGGGAGAGAGAGAGAAGAAGTGGGAACTCTGGGTAGCTAGATTGCTGTCTACTACTAACAAAACTACTGTCTTTTATACCTCGCTCGCTGGTCTGTGCGACAATGGTACTAAGTCCTCTCATCGTGCTGTCCACGCTCTGCGGTCCGCCAATCCCGCACAAGCGACTGGATTTGGTCGTGGCCCGCTTCTCAGCACGCCCAGCTAGTGCATGCTCCCGCTGCCTGCTCCTTGGTCGTGACATCACTTCTTCTGTCACCTAGTCAGGTTGGGAGGTGATGTGGCCATGCTTGCCCAACTCTGTAAACTTGCTTGTTCTGATTTGAGGCTGCCCAAGCTGTCTGAGCGCTCCTAGTTGTGTTTTGGTTTAGTTGAGGGGTTGATCTTTTTCTGCTGTGCTCTGATTGGTTGTGATACATTCGAGTGCGCCCCTGCCCCTGTCCCTTGGAGGGAGACCTTCGGCCGACATTGGGTTTCTGTCTGATTCTTGTGATCGCTGACTTCTCACCCTGCGTGCCATCTGTTGGTCTGTCCTCTCCATGTGCTGCTTGGGCCATCGCACTGCACGCCGCTATGTCTCACCTTGAATGATAGGGGAGCAAGTCCAGTGCTCTGGCTGCTGACTTTGGCATTCCCCCAGGAGTGAGCCCAGCACTCTGGCTGCTAGCTCTGGTCTCCTGCTCGGTCTATCGTTGCTTTGGGCAGTTCGTGGTTCATGTGGGTCGCTACTATGCACGTGCTTTACTGCATGCTGCCATGGCTGCGGTGCATCAATGCTACCCAAGCTACATAGCACTATGTAGCACTGGTAGCATGGTAGGTAGGTACCTCTCTACAGTGAGCTCTGTAGCACATGCTATCCACCATGTAGCACTCCATAGCACTCTGTAGCACCCTGTAGTAGATAGTACCAGCTACATAGTGCTACATAGCACTATGTAGTGAGGTCTATAGACCGAGTTCTGGGGTCCTACTTGTTGGCATTGTAACCTGTCACATGACATGGACCCTGCTCCAGTGCTGCTCCCTCACCCCAATGTGATGGTGCATCAGTCATAGCATAGGAAACAAACCAGCTTAGCAGCCTTAAGGTCAGGTAGGAGTAGCTCAGTGGTAGAGCACCTGGTATATAACCAGAAGACTTGGGTTCAATCCCCAGTCTGGTCATATTTTCTGCACACTAGAACTACGTATGTCCAACATTACTTCATCAGTAAAATGTAAATTTTACTTGAAAGTGACTTGAAATCACTTGATTGGCTCCAAGTGAGTCAAGTCACAATCAAGTCAGCCAAGTTGCAATCAAGACAAGGACTTGCCTTGATTTTGACTTGAAAGTGACTTGAACTTGACTTGGAAAGTTGAATTTTAAATATCATTTTTAAAATTCAACTTTCCAAGTCAAGTTCAAGTCACTTTCAAGTCAAAATCAAGGCAAGTCCTTGTCTTGATTGCAACTTGGCTGACTTGATTGTGACTTGACTCACTTGGAGCCAATCAAGTGATTTCAAGTCAATTTCAAGTAAAATTTACATTTTGCTGATGACTTTCAGTAACTAGCAAATATCCAGCTCATTATTAGGCATAATCACTCAGTTTCACACAATTCAATAGATAAACACAAAAGACAACCATTTTATTGAAACTAATTCTAATACATATACTAATACTAATACTACAGGACAGCATTACTGTACTTACTGTAATCATGCGCTGTAATAAAGCACTGTC